TAGACCCTAGAGGGGGGTGATTAGGGTCTTACGCTAATCTAATCTGATTTTATGCCAATTACAACTAATTCAATTATTATTCTTGCAAGATATATATACAATATGATATGAGCAAGAATATGCAATATGAATAAAGAGATATATCCTAGCAAAGAGGTATATGATGAAATATATGCAAGGATATATAAACTAATACAAGGGTGAAATAAACCTTAAATCAAAGAGCACTAAGCTCTGATACCTACTGTTAGACCCTAGAGGGGGGTGATTAGGGTCTTACGCTAATCTAATCTGATTTTATGCCAATTACAACTAATTCAATTATTATTCTTGCAAGATATATATACAATATGATATGAGCAAGAATATGCAATATGAATAAAGAGATATATCCTAGCAAAGAGGTATATGATGAAATATATGCAAGGATATATAAACTAATACAAGGGTGAAATAAACATAAACAAAACAAGAGTGATAGTGTGTAAATAAACAATGCAAACACATAATATGATCATAGAATTCGGACCTTCCGTCCTACGTCTCCGTTCCCCACTCCCGGGGAGAAATCCACTATCACAATCGGGTTTTTTTACGCTTACCCGAATAACATTTACACCTCACAATGTCAGTTTTTAACGCTCACCGATCAACGTCCACACCTCACACTCGGTTTTCTAGTTCAGCGAAAACTTCACAATTCACACTCTCACAATGTCGGTTTTCAACGCTCACTGATCAACATCTACACCTCACACTCGGTGTTCTAGCTCACCGAAAAGTTTATAATCTCACAATATAACAAATGATTGTTCTCAAATATGGATGAGAACACAATGAAGCTCACTCTCAATTGTTACAACTCCCCACAACCCAATTATACAATGTATGCAAATATAATAAGCTTAATGGTTGTGTGTGTAAGCAAAGAGATTAAACAAATCTAAACTCAATATAAAACTAGTTTTAATAAAATGATAATCAAACAAATAGATATAAAGCTAGAAAAGGACTTTAGAAAACTTCTCAATAGATCAAGAGATCGAGGGAGAGTAGTTGGATGCTCAAACACAAATAGACGATCTCCTCAAGCTCTTGTGAAATTGATTTCACAAACTCAAACTCTTAAATGTTTAAAAGCTTCTTAAACAAACTTAAACAACACTTAAACCCTTATTAAAACTTTGTTAAAACATTTCTTGGATCGTTGCTGGTAGAAGGGGTTTGAGGGGTTTATATAGAAAGAGAAACCAACAGCAAAAACCCCAAACAAAAGACCAAAAACCCCCAAGAATCAGAAATCCGATTCTGTACCTAATATAGTCGTTGGACAATCGGCGGTCGACCGTGGAAAACTCGCGGTCGACCACGAGCAACAGAAAGGCAAAACTGGGCTCTGAAAAGACATCGCAAAACTTTCTGGACTTCATCCGGTCGACCGCCACGGTCGATCGTGAGCCACTGAAAAACATATTGAGTATTTGGACTCAAGGGCGGTCGACCGTGGCGGGCGACCACAAACTAACATATGAAATTGAACAGGTTTGAAGCAGTTTTTTAATTTTAAAACCCTGTTTAAAAATATCAAATAAATTCCAAAAAATATAAAACTTTGGGAAATGATTGTAGACATGATAATACACATGCTACAAAAACTAGTTTTTAGAAAGGACCTCCCAAGTTAAAAATATCATCATTTTGCAAAATAGACCAAAACATGAAAATGTGAACATATGAGTTTTGACATTTTAGCTTAACCATGTTTTGAAACCATACAAAATGATTTTATAGACTTGAAGAAAGGTGTAAACTATTATTATAAAGTCTATAAATAATGAATATAGTATTTTATCAAAATACACATATAATACACTAAAACATGATTTCATTGAACTAAATAAAATTGATATTTGATGAAATCATATATATGCATGTAAGTATGAAACAAAAATATGTTTTCTAATTATATTAAATTGTTTCATATTAAAACTTGAAAACTATCAAACCAAAACATATATGTATATATATAACTATATATATACAAAACCAAAACGTGTATGTGTGTATATGATTGAGCTTAAAGTACTAACACACATAATATAAACACCTAAACTAAATGTTACTCAAGCTTGATCTTGATCTTCATTGTAGCTCAACTTGGTAAGCTTACGGATGAAGCTTGAACTTGGATCTTCAACTTAAATTGCATAGGCTTCACTCCACAATTCCGCCAACCTCCATTTGATATCGTCGTTATGGCGCAATCCATCCATCCTCCAACAACGTTGTTTGTCTACAATACATAGGAATGCACAAACACTAGACAAACAACATTAGTAATAAATTGTTTGTTAAACATCATCAAAACAACAAGGCCAACAATCTCCCCCTTTTTGATGATGACAAACAATTTACAAAAAGGAATATATGCATGAAGGAAATGAACATATAATTTATAATTCACATGCATGTAAACTCAAGAAGGAATATACTCACAATATTTCTCCCCCTTTGACAACATCAAAAAGGGGACAAAAAGAATAAGAGAGCGAAAGCTCCCCCTATCAATAAGCATAGGTGAGTATAAATAAATAGTGTTAATTCAAAAAATTCACCGTGATCTCAAATCAGAAACCAGCAGATCTCGTGACCAAAAATCAGAAAACAAATCTCGTGATCAAAAAACCAGATCTCTCTCTTCCCAAATCTCTCTCTCCCCACGATTAACCCCTCTCCCCCCTTCAATCCCTCTCCTTCGAGTCCCAAACCACGATCGACCAAATCCCATTCGCGATTAACCCCAACCACGATTCGAAACCCCAGTTCCTCTCTCCGACACGAGCACCGAACCTCAGATCTCCGCCTACCTGCAGCCGACTTCGACAACCGAACCTCAG